AACCGCATCGGATGAACTTGCTCAGATGAGAATTACTCATCCCAGAGGACTAGACAGTAAGCGTATTTGCAATCTTAGACCATGTCATGTGAGGACATGTCACACATGATGTACCATGTGTTGCTATCCTATAGCATGTCCTTTTCTGTTTTCTTACACCCATTCCCTGTCAAATTCTTCTCTTTTACATCATGTCATGTCACACGACGACTTTTTCAGTACATCTTCAGTCCCATGTTGAACCCTGTTTCGCGTGACAGGCGTGGTACTTTGTGTATGTTTCCTACTGATACTTGCACTGTACTACATACCGCATCCAAGCCTCCAAAGGCCGAAACAGCGACTAGCGTTGCCAAAACTCGAGTTTTAAACACTTCCCAACTGTAAAAAGGAAAAAACATAGGGTTAACAAATACAACCTTGTTTCGTGTGGCAGGCGCGGTAGATTCCAACTTAATGCGTCTTTCCAAAGGCGCAATAATCCCCCCGTGGGTTTGTTTATTGTTGCGATGACGGAAATAACGAATGCAAGCAGGGAGATGTGTCGGTAAAGGCGATTCAAACCTATCTCAAGACATCTCGCCAGGAGCTGCAGCTTTCGGGCGAGCGGCTGCACTTCCGTAAGATCGAAGGGGACGGCCCAGATGCGGGCTGGGTCAGTACGAGGCCTGAGTGGATTTGCTTGAATGCGGATCCGGCTTGCTTTAAATTTCCGTGTAAAAGATGGTAAGTCGAAGAATCCGGCTCAAGCGATTTGGTGGTAATCCTTGAAACCGGCTGTATTCGCCGACTGTCCTGTGGTAGGACTCGAGGCTGTAGATTCATCTTGCGTGCATGTTGGGGGGTGTGTGCGTGTGTGTATGTGTGTACATACATATACACAAACACAGACATACATATATATATATATATATATGCTACCCGGCGGGCGGGCGGGCGGGCGGGCAGGGGCGGGGCGGCCGGGCGGGCGCGAACTGTGTGGGTGTGTGTGGGTGGGTGTGTGTGTGTGGTGAACCCTGTTACGAAGGGATGCAAAAGAAGCCAATCGGCTACCCCGCACAGCGGGGTGTGTGTGTGTGTGTGTGTGGAACACTTGTTTGCCAAGGTAGCAGTTTTTAAAGCAGGGGGCTGAGCACCTCAGCCCACGAAGACTGCCAGTGACAGGGCGTGCAAACGTACCTGCGAATCAGGGGGAGGTTGCACGTGGGTCGTCGTGACAGCTGGTGCCCCTCATGAGGAGTTCCTGGGTCCGTCGTGGCAGCTGGAATCCTCACCCCTTACAAGCACAAGTTTGTTTTTCTGGAAGTGGCATGGGGCTCAGCCTAGAACCCCAATAAGCTGCAATGTTCTTGTTTCGTTTTTGTCTGGATAGATGGCAAGAGGCAAAGCCAAAATCCTCTTAAGATCCTACTCCTCTGTGTTGGAAAGATTGAAAACCATGTGATTCTAGTCAGTCCAGAGGGAGGATTGCACCAGTGTGCTTCTAGACGGCTTTCGTCAATCGTGTTGTCTACGGTAGGGTTGCCTACCGCAATGGCCCGGAGCGGCCAAGTTACAGTCCAGGACCCTGATCGGTCCGAACCCTGATCGGATCATTTAGTAACCCAGACCATTGAGTCTCGATGCAGTCAATTCTGCTCGGAGGAATCATGTGTTCGCTTCAGACCTGATCGCCTAGTTGCAGACGGGACTAATCGTTGCTACAGGTTTGAGACCAGTTAAGCCCCGGGCTCCGTTTTAGTTGCCAGTCTACCACAGATTCCTCCTCATCTGGACGCTTTTCCACTAGGCATTGTTCAGATCAAGGAAATCAACCCATCGTACATGCAGGTCGAAATGCTTGTTGAACACCGTTTCTAAACGCCTTGGCTGTCTCAGCTGCCGGTCGGCAAGCACTGCGGGGCTGCGGTAGTTGGGTAAGACCTGCGAACTGCAGCTGCTTGGCCGTATTAATAGGACATGCGCTGCAGGGCTGCGGCATTCTGTAAGACCTGCGAATTGCAAGTGCGGTCCTCTATAACGGGGTTTGAAGTGACCACCGTGGGCCACCCCTTTCCTTTCCTTTTTTCTTTTCTTTTTCCCCTTTTCTTTTAACACGACATGCGCTGCAGGGCTGTAAGACCTGCGAACTGCAAGCGCAGTCCTCTTACGGGGTTTGAAATGCCCAACGTGGGCTACCCCTTTCCTTTTCTTTTTCCGTTTCCTTTTCTACATTTCTCGTTTCAGCCTTACACTTTCCTTTCGCGCAGCCGGAAGCCTTTGTCAAGCCCCAAGGACGGCCTGCGGCTGCTTCTCTCTCTCTCTCTCACTCTCTCTCTGTTTCAACTTTTTATTATGCTTTAAGGCTTCACAGCCAACCGCCAGCCCTCCTGCAGAGCCTTTTGTTTTTCTTTTTCCGCTTGTCCAGTGTGGCTACCCTGCACCTCTTTTGTGCAAGGAGCCGCAATGCCCAAGTGGCTTCTTGTGTGTGGGGAACCCTGTTACGAAGGGATGCAAAAGAAGCCAATCGGCTACCCCGCACAGCGGGGTGTGTGTGTGTGTGTGTG